CGAACTCATTTTTTTTGGTTGATTTTTCTTTGTTAAATGGCATTTAAATATATAAAATAAATATCAAAAATATAAGTCTTTGTTTTACTATGGTTGCAAATATCAAAAAAATTCTATATGTGACACGGCACCAGAGTTAGGTTAGGGTTTTTCAAAATGCTGACACGCCGAGCTCAAAAGGTTCGCCATCACTGCCCTAGTCTGAGGTTCGTTCCACAGAGAAGTGAAAGGACAATAAGGGAGACAGGAGACCCAAAACACAGGAAGCGTAGTTACAGGGCCCAGATGCTCTCCTCACCGAGGCCAGGGTCACCAGCCACCCGAAGCCTATGCCTGTGCAGGATTTAGTTGACCTCTGCTGCCACCAAGTGGTGATTCTGCAGCTTACCAGCCAGGAAAGCCTTTGGTGACAGATTTTTTGTGTGTGGAGTAGCCGCTTAAAGGGGCCCTGGGGTCAAAACAATTTTCATACCAAGTATAACATAAGATGGTATCTGCCCTTTTCACTCTCATTTTCCCACGAGTGTGCAATGGAGCTTTCCACAGGCTACGCGGCAACTGGCATCACAACAGATTGAAAGCAGAAGCGTATGGGGATCCACCTGTCCTCTAGTTAAGCCCGAAGTTAGGGAGATTTGCAAAAATGTAACAGTGCAACTCTTTCATTATTTATTTTTTGGGGAAACATAGCCATTTTCATAAAAATTTTATTATTTTAACATGTAATAGGGTTGTTACGCTTTATATAAATATTTTTTAAATTCTCTTTTAATTTCTGGTAAATGTTACAATCTGCATAAACAAAAGTTCTCTATAATTTTGAAGAATGAACGGGACCGCTGTTGAGAACTGCTGTTACCGAGTGCCAACGGGTGCTTGTTGGCACCAATTCAATGCCAACAAGAATCCCCTTTGGGGATGCAGTGAAGAAGGAAACTTTACTCAGTGCAAACGCGGCTGTGGAACAGCTGAATGGTGATGCAGCCCGGCTGTGAAAACTGTAGAACAGCTCTGGGGCCAGGGGTCCTGGGGCCAGGCCCCTCTCCAGCTAGACAGCTCTGCTCTGCCCATGCTGGCCGGCTTCACTCTGCTCTGGCAAACCTTTGGTGTTTCAGCTCAGCCAGGGAGATGAAGCTTCATTCCTTTTTTTTTTTTTTTTTTGAGAGAGAGAAACATCAATTTTTTGTTCCACTTATTTATACATTCATTGGTTGATTCTTGTATGTGCCCTGGCTGGGGATGGAACCCACAACCATGATGTATGGGGAACAATGCTCCCACCAACTGAGCCACCCAGCCAGGGCCCCAGTTTCATTTTTATGTAGACAGAAATCCCTGCCCATGGTCCCTGATTGGTCCATCTCATGCAAATGAGGGCTCCAAATCCTTGCAGTTTGATTGGCCCAAAAGGCACTGTCCTGATTGGTTAAAATAGCCACTCTGATTGGTCACAGCTGTGCAGCTCTGATTGGGTTGGGAAAGCCTCAATCCTACTGGTTGAAATAGAATTTCAGGAAACCTTTGTAAGGGCTGGCTCAGATGGCAGAAACACAGCTCAGGCAGGCAGTTCAGCACAGGCTTCTCTGGGAAGTGCAGTTTGCGTGAGAGGCTCCATGCAGGAATGGCTGCTACGCTCTGTTTTTTGTTTGTTTTTAAATATGAGCCCAGTTCGTCACCAGGAGCCCTTCTTAGTAGACGTCTTCCCCACCCCCCTCAGGGTTCACAAAGGTAATGGTAATTGTTACTTTTTTCTCCGATACCAGAAATGCTCCCTGTTCATGGAGGTCAGGGTGTTCAGGCTAAAGAAAAGCAGAGGCAGGACAGCCTGGAGGGTGGTGGTCAGACAGGAGCTGGTCCCGTGGGTTTGTTGGATACTCAATCATTCCTTCAACAAACACTTAAATACTCACACGTGCCTGGTATTGGATGGGATGGGAAAATGGCTGGAAGTACGGGGAACCTGGGACAGAGCAATAAGAGGTGAGTCTGGAAGAGCAGCTCTGATGGGGATTGCCAAAGGCCTTCACTGACAGTTCAGGACTCTGTACATTACACAGGTGTCCCAACAACTTTCTCTTTCCCACTATGAAATGATGTTCCATGGGCTGGACAGCAGGGAGCAGTGTGGCCTCAAGATTATCAAATGGAACTGGAAGTACATTGGAGCCTCCGTTTCTCCGCCTGTGAACCTGGTCAGCAAGGCCTCTTTCTGTTTACCTCCTCCTCTCATAGAGCAGATCAGAGAACACCAAGAGGAACTGCGAAGGATTCTGACACCTGAAGAAGGTTGTTTCTTGGATCTCAGCCTTATCAGCGCGTCCAGCAGACGCCCTCTGCTGGCCTTGTGAACACACCACCACTTCCAAACAAACTGGGCAACCGGGACGGCACCGGGAAACGGTCTCGTTGAGGCCGACTTACTAGTAAAAACACACTTTAGACCGCGTTAGAGAGAAGACCTCAGGTTCACTGGGAAGGGACTAGATGACAGTGGACATCTCTTCACCAGTGTCCACAGTGCCTGCCCAGGACCAGTGATGCTGGGTGGGCAGGCCCACCTGTCCTGTCAGTAGAACCATACACCAGAATGGAAGTGCTGCTGTCCCCGACACAAAGGACAGAGTCTGTACGTAGTAGGTGCTCAACAAATGCTTGATGACCGGTGGAGGGATGGAGAGTTGGACTGCAGCCTGCAGATCTGCCCGAGGGACCCGCCATTGCCAGGGGCTGTGAAGCAGAAAGACCAAGGGGGGCACACTGAGGGTTTATTTCAAGGAGGGAACCCTTTGCTAGAGCATCAGGATAAACAATGAGGCTGAACACTTTCAACTTCTTTATGCCTTAGCAGCGCTGTGCCTTGGTGCTGGGTCTGGTAGGGCAGGGAATTTCCAGAAACATGCTCTGAGTCACTCAAGGGCGGTGAAAGGGGGTGGGGAAATCACAGGGGGCCAGGAGGGAGAAAAGAAATCTAAGGATATTTTCACCACCAGGTTTTAAGCCGGGAATGGCAACTAGATTTCTTTGTATGTCACTTCTGACCGGCTGGCTGCTGGTGGCTGCTCAGGGCACTGTGTTGAGGAGGACTCTGAAGCTGCATCCAGCTCCACAGGAGAGGCTCCCTGCCTGATTAAAGATGCCTGTTGTAGGCACGAAGAGTGGGAGTGACATCACGGACACGCGCAATGGCCTCCCCACATGGCTCGAGTGAGAAACACAATGTAGAATCATGACATTCTGGAAACCGGGCTGTGGACAAAGTATTTTATTTTGCTTCATTTTGTTCTCCATGTGAAAATAAGGCCCAGAGAACGCCCACCCCACCCGCACTCAGTGCCCCCTCCTCTGGAGCGTGACCAGCACGTACTGCTGGCCACGGGGGATAGAGCGCCTACAGGGCTTCCTCTCACTCCATTGCCCGTTCACCCGCCACGCCCTCCCTGCCCACCTAAGGCAGCTGGGAAAAGGGAAGTGAGACTTCTCACCTGCGTGGAATGGCCTCTTCTCTGGTGACATCTACAGGGGTCTAAACAGAGGGAAGAGTGAGGGTGGCCTGTGTCTCTTGGAAGTCAGGCAGAAGCATCCCATACAGAAATGACCTGAAGAAGTTTTCATTGTTTTTATTTGGAAACTTAGAGACAACTCCAGCTCCTCTGTGAATTCCCAGTGAGTTTACAGCAGTCGTGGGAAGCAGGTCTATTTGGCCCCACTTTTTGCCAGGTGCCAGTGCAGATAAAAAATAGGTGGCGGTTTATCAATGGTCCAGCTGGGAGGGGAGGAGCAGAGTGCTTTCGATCCGAAAGAAGGGGTTCGGAGGTGAGCAGGTTCTGGAGAGGCCTCGCCCTGCAGGGAATGGGGCCCTGGTCCATGACGCCAGCCCTGGCCCTGGGGAAATAGGAGGAAAGGTAAGGCTTTCATACAATCAGTCAGCAAGATCTAGCAGTCAAACAACCCACTTAGAGCTGCTTGGGCGAAGCAACAATTGGCAAAGTATCACCATGAGAACAGGCTGGTGGAAGGCTATGAGGTTGTCTAGGTTACAGTCAAACCTCGGTTCTCGAACGAACATCTCCCATCTTCAACAGTTTGCTTCTCAACCTGACAACCCTTTCATGCTGATACCTGTATGATCAGTCAAACATTTCTCAGGCGACTAACAAAGGAGAGAATGCGTGAGTATGAGTCAGTTTATTGCTAAAGTGCATGTTGATAACATCTCAGGAAATTGTGCTGTGAATATTTGTGTGTGTTTTTGTTCTTATTGCTGCTTATTATTAATTATTAAATTTTCATTTTTTACTGTACATTTCATTTCCTTTTTGTTACATTTTCATTTACATTTCATGTCCTTTTTGTTTTAAAGTGTTTATAGATTAAACAGTACATTAGGCATGTACTGTATATAAGTATTATATATTGAGAGTATTATGATGAGTGAAATAAGCTAGTCAGAGAAAGACATGATCTCACCTATAAGTGAAATCTAATGAACATAATAAACTGATGAACAAAATAGATCCAGAAACATGGAGGTATAGGACAGACTGACATATCTTGGGGGGGAGATGAGAAAGGGCAGGAGGAGACAGGAAGAGATTAACTAAAGGACTCATATACATACATGCATAACCAATGAGCACAGACAATAGTGTGGTGAAGGTCTGGGGTGGGGTAGGGGCTGGGAGGGGGGTTAAGGGGAGAAAAATTGGGAGACATCTGTAATACTGTCAACAATAAAATAAAATTGTTAAAGAAAGGAAGATTACTAGTAAAACGGAATCATTTGGGGGTCTGGAATGAATTAATTCAATTTACATGATTTCTAGTGGGGGGGAAAGATTCGGTTTTCAAACAGCCTTCCAGAATGAATCAAGTTCGAGAACCAAGGTTCCACTATATTTGCATATTTTCAAAAAAATGGGTGGGAGGGAGACTGTATCTACTTCCCTTGAAAATGAATTTCCTGACATCGAAAGTAGACCAATGAGGTTTGGAGCACGAAAGTCATGGCAGGGGCAGAACAGCACTGTTTCTGGAAGGTTCTGGATGTGGGGGATCCAGGTGGACAGGTAGGAGTGGTGCACTGGATCCACAGGCCTCAGACAAGCCCAAGAACTGACCGCTGACCAGTGGCTGGGCCCCCTTTCTATCACCAAAGGTCATCTCCCTCGCGTAGTCTGACTCAGGTTTCTCCGTAAGAACAGATAAAGCCACATCACGAAACGACCACCTCGTGCTGCATTCACTTGGGTACAAACAGTCCATGGGTCACTCTTGTGTTGACCTGGAGAAAACTACCTGAGCAGGTGGGTGAAAAGGAAGTGTGGGAGCCGGGGAGCGCTCTGTATCTGGTTGTTAGATGGAGGCTGGAGCTGACTGGAGCTGGCTGTGTCCTGCAGGCACTTGAAGACAATTCCATGGATTCCCACTGCCTGCACTCGGCACTTTTGAGATCGTCACCATCCTACCACTTCCCTAGTTCTCTAATGACATCATCTCACTGTCGTCAGTTTAGACCATGAGGGAGGCACTGGTTTCCATGTGGTCAAAGCATGGATACTACCCTGGCCTGAACCATGACTGGCCCGAGATCTCAGAGCAGGGGGGTAAGTTCAAATCCAAGATCTGTTAGAGGGCCTTGGTGTTCTTGGGTCAGAGCGGGAGGCTTGTTTAAGATGAGGCTCCAGAAAAGTCACTGGGAACCCCCTCCCCAATTCCTGCTGAGCGCACCAGCCTCCTCCCACCCCAGCTGGCATCTGTGCCCTTGTATGGTCAGAGCACTTTCAGGAAGAAACGCTTCCAGTCAGGGTGTGTGTGTGTGTGTGTGTGTGTGTGTGTGGAGGGGGGGCTCACTGTCCTGAATGGCCAAGTCTAAAACAATCAGGGTTTGGCGTGCTAGAAACTTCTTCCTTCCTCCTGAAGTAGCCAGTCACCAGGGTGGTCACAAGTGACAGATGGCGACAGCTCCGGCAAGCGTCCAGCCACTCTGGGAGCGGCCAGGCCTTGGCATTAAACCACCTTGCGGCTGAAGATTTAAGGACATGGGAAAACGGTCCTGGACTATTAAACAGGAGAGATTATAAAACATTGTGGGAAGTAGGATCCCTTTTTGGGGGAACACATAAAAAACACTTAGAAAATAATAGAAAGGTCTTGGAATTATAGGGTTTTTGTTGCTGTTCTTTCAGTTTACTTCTCCCCCCCCCCTAGTTTTCTAGAATAAAATGCATTGATTTTATTATAAATTTTTTTAAAAGGGGGAATGGCTAATATCTGAGCACAGCTTTAAGAACCAGGCCTCCCTTCCCTGCCTTGGACATAACCCTAGTACAGTAACTTGTCACCCAAGATGTTTAATTATGCAAAATGCATTGCTTCCCTCTGCCTTTTATAAGAGAGGGCAGAAAGCCAGGGAAGCTGTGAATGTGGGTGCTTTAAAGAGCTAAAAGCATTTGCTTTAAAGCCGTGTCTAGGGCTATCCCTGGCTTACTCTAGCCAGCTCTTACTCTGCCCTGCCCTCCCGCTGGCCTGTCCAGGCATCCCACAGGGCTCAGCTTCCTCAGGGGAGGGTGGAGGGAGGTTTGCTAAGACCTTCCTGATGAAGACCATCCTTCCTGAGAGAATGTGCAGTCACCACAGCCAACGCACATTGGTTTCTGGGTAACTAGAAAATTCAGCGACTTCCTCCACTTTGTCTCTGAGCTCTGCAAGGGACCGGTTTGGGGCAGGGGAGAAGAAACAAGAGAGGAAAAGAAGAGAAAGAACTGAGAAGATATGGAAGTTGATCATCCAGCCACTTGGTGATATTTGTGAGTGGCCATTCATGTGTCAAGCTCTGTGAGGAGGCACAGGCCATCGAGGTGAAATAGTAGTCACAGTTCTCCTGGGACTTCCACGCTGGCTGGGAGTGAGGCAAATCATCAGGCAGTTACATGCAGGGGGATGTGGTAGGGGCTGAGCAGGGGTTGTGGGAGGGAGCCTACAGCAGGCACAACGCCTGGCTGAGGCATCAGGGCAGGCTTCCTGGAGGAGGAGACTTTGAGACCAAGGCCTGGATGACAAAGAGTTGAGGAAGCCAAGGACAATGGGAAAGGTGTGAAGCCAAGGACAATGGGAAAGGTGTGAAAACAGCTTGGGGGCAGCCTGCCAGGCAGGGGCAGCATTGCAAAGTCACAGAAATGAGAGTGAGGTTGGTATACTTAGGATGGTGGTGAGGATGAGGTGGTTAAGGACTGATGCTTTACCTAGTGGGTAATGGGGAGCCACTGAAGGCATTTGAGCAAGGGAGTCTCTTACTCAGATTTCTGTTTGTAGATGCTTTGGGCCAGTGATCTTTCTTCGATGAGGAAGGGAGAAGGACAGGGTGGGGGGGGGGGGGAAATGGGGCAGAGGCTGTTCCCTAGAGTTCTGGAAGCCTGGTGGTGGCTCTCAGACTCATGCACTTAGCTCAGTTGGAAGGTGGGAAGATGGTGCCCGTGTGACAGGGGTGGGTACCCTGGTTTGAGTCCTCACTTCTGAGCCTTGGTCATTAAATTATACAGTGAAACCTCTCTCCAAGGGCCATGGATGCTGCTGAGTGGGAAAACAGATATGTGCGCTTCCTATACAGAGGTCAGTTGTGTGCCCACCCAGCTCACCACCAGTCACAGGCAGGCATTTGAGAAGGGCTTTCGATGACAAGAAGGGTGGCGATCCGAGTCCCAGGATCAACACAGATTAGATAGGAAACCAATGCAGGGAGACATTTTCATGGCTAAGAAGAGAGTTTTAAGCTCTGGAAGGTGCGACTGACCTGGCACTCAGGGGCTGGTCACCGGGTAGTTCCCTCTGATGGCCCGCAGCGAGAGCTCGTACCCCAGGAACATGGCTGCGCTCATGGGGAAGCCCCGCACAGCATTCACCGTGATGCCTCTGAAAAACACCTGTGACAGGGGACGGCATTATCACAGGGGACTGACTGCACCTCGGCAGGGCCACACCGGAGGGCAGGGAGCGGGCTGGTGGTGATGCCCGCTCAGGCCCGTCTCAGGCTGGGCCCTGCAGAGCCAGAAGGACCTGCGCAGGCAAAGGCTGCCTGGGATGCCCAGCCATGCCCTGCCCTGACCCAGGTCATGCCGGATGGCACTTCTCCTGCCAGGCCTGGCCCACATGCACTGTGACAAAACTGTTGAGTCCTGTGAACACCCACATCTCCTTGCTTAATCGCTTCTTTCTCTTGTGAGCACACACATACACACATGCACACACGTGCATGTGCACACATGATTTTCAGGAATCTAGAAGTCAGAACTCCCCCCTCCTCTTTGCAGTGGTGGACAGAGCACCAGCCCCAACCAATACAGTGACAGGTGCTTCCTGGGACATCCCCAGGGACCAGTGGGGAGAACTCAGGCCATGTGAACAGGGCAGACACAGAGTTGAGGCACAGCTCTGCCATTTAGTAGCTGTGCTATTTGGGCAAGTGGCAGCCTCTGGAATCTCAAAATTTCCAACTGTAAAATGGGGGTGATCATGCCATTGACCTGATACAGTTGTTGAGGGAATAAATGAGATGACGCTGTGGAGCACGGACACAGTGTTGACTAGCACATCACCATCCTTGTTACCTAAAGGCATCGCTTTGGACAGAGTGGCACCCAACCTCGATCATTAGTGTGAGTGCCTCGGGGTGGTGGCCTGTTGATGAGCCGCTAGCCTTGGCCTTAATACAAGAAGACTATGTTTGCCTTCCATCCCAGGGAATACGATAAGGTGCTTTCCTTCCTCCCTGAATCCTCTTGCCTGGTGCAAGAAGACACTAATCGATGTGACCTAGTTCCAGCCCTCGGAAAGTTTATAACCTACAAAAGGAGCCAAGCCCCACTCAGGAATAATTACAACATCATGTAGAACGTGATGAGAATAGATAAGGGCTTTGGTGAGCAGTGGGGTGGAGAGGAACTGTCCTTAAACGTCCTCCCTGGACAAAACATCTAAAGGCAAATTTCTATCCAAGCATAGATGACCCGGTAACTGTCAGGCATAAGATGCAACTCTGTCACCTGACTCCTGTATGATTTACTACGTTTATGAATTAGGGCTGGTATTGTATTTTTAAGAAAGTGGAAACCCAGCCCTTTGCATTCCCTGCTTGCTGAGTAGTCGGGCACTGTGGTGGCAGGTTAGGTGCAGGCCACTGACAGGACGTCAGGGGACCTTCCTTCAGGAGCGGTGCCTGCGTCTTGCCGCTCTGTGGCAGCCTGGGAGACGCAGCTGGATGGGAAGGGGAGAGAGGGCTTGTGGACTTGGGAAGCCTGGGCCTCGGGGAAGGGAGCTGATGGACAGGATCCAAGAGGTGAGCAGGTGGCTCCTCCAAACCCCGGAGCAATTCAGGTAGCGGGCAAGTGGGATCCTCACGACATTAGCTCTCCTTTCTCATGTCTAACCTTTCTGGAATTCCACAGGCTCACCCAGAGTGACTGAATAACAGCCAGGAACCGGGTCAGGCTCTGGAGGGAAATTCCATGCGAGGTGCCCCAGAGGCTCCCCTGCAAGGCAGGCCAGGCAGATCCTCCTGTCCCACAGCACTGGGCCCTGCAGGAGCCCTAGGCCACTTCAGACAGACAGACAGACAGACACTCCTCCCTCCAACAGCTGCAGCCACTCTGCCTCTGCTCTGCGAGGCTGAAAGGTGGCTAACAAAACACACACCTTCTGGCTTTTACTGCAGCTCTCAGAACACAGAAAACACCGGGCTGAGTTGTTCCTCATGAAGCCTCAATGGCTCCCCACTGCCCAAGGTCAAGTGCACACCCTTCCCTGGCCTGTCAGGGCCCACACCCTCTGTTCCTGCTCTTTCCCTGGACTGCCTCTTACACCTCACACCTGTCACTCTGGGCAGTCTAAAAGCCTGTCCTTCCTCCTAAGGGACCAACTCTCTTCACCACTGGGCCTCTGCTGGAATGCTCCCAAATCTGGCTGCGCCCTCTAGTAGTCCTCCCAGGCCACCCCGTGCTGGACTATGGTCCCCTGCCTTCTGTGCACTCATCTCTGCCATCACAGCACTTATCACACCCATGCCAACTGCCCGTGACTGGCCCATCCTCTCATTAATAATCCCAGTAAGGGCAGTGGGAGCAGGGCTGTGTGTGTGGCTCATCTCCGAATCCCCAGCACCTGCACTGTGCTTGGCCTAGAGGACCCTCTATAGCAGCAGTCACCAACCTTTCGGACCTCACGGACCACCAGTGGTCTGTGGACCACCGGTTGCCGATCGCTGCTCTACAGATCTATTAAACACATTGCGTACCGCATAGGGGGTTCCTGGAGTGGAGAGAAGGTTCCAGACCCCCCCACATTGCAGACCCAAAGAGCAACCAACCCTGGTGCTTCAGGAAGCTTTCTACTACAAATGCTCCTCTCTGTCTCCCCTTAGAGTTAACCACTCTTGTCCTACTGTCCCAGATCCCTTCACAAGGACACCAAGTCACTCCTCCAGCATTCTATTTCAGATGACAGCTCTCCAAGTATGAGCCATGGCCCATGTGGCCCACAGCGATCCTCACAGCAGGCAGAAGATGGATCCAAAACTTGGTAATGCCCTGAACCATGGACTTCTAACCCCCATCATGAAGGCTGCTTTACCGCTAATCATTAAGAGAGTTACGAAAAGGGCTACTAACATTGAACACTGCCATCATTATTTTACTGCTTTCCAATTCTCTCTTACCACTGAGTTCTTCTCCCAGGGGAAAGTGGAAACAGCTTAGGGCTTTGTACACCCCTCAGTGAGCTGCAGTAAAAGTGTTTTGGAGGGGGTATTCCACAAAGCAGTGCCCAAGCCAAGTGGGACTGGAGCCATCCTCCAGGCCTGGGAAAAGGCGTTCCTCCTACTGCTACGAATATGACTGTGAGACAACCCAACCTTCCGGGACTGTGTGGGAATTTTTGCTACCATATGTTATTTATGTTACTTATATGCAAACTTACATACAAATATACATAAATATCCATACACATATATATGCATGCACAGGCTGGGAATATTTTTGTAATACATCACATGAAATAACAGTAATTGCCTTTGAGAAAGTACTAGGAACCACAGTGATATTTAGACAATATATCTTCGAGGTCAGGGGACCATAGTCCAGCACGGGGTGGCCTGGGAGGACTACTAGAGGGCGCAGCCAGATTTGGGAGCATTCCATCAAGAGTTAACCACTCTTGTCCTACTGTCCCAAATCCCTTCACAAGGACACCAAGTCACTCCTCCAGCATCCTATTTCAGATGCCAGCTCTCCAAGTATGAGCCATGGCCCATGTGGCCCACAGCGATCCTCACAGCAGGCAGAAGATGGATCCAAAACTTGGTAATGCCCTGAACCATGGACTTCTAACCCCCATCATGAAGGCTGCTTTACCGCTAATCATTAAGAGAGTTACGAAAAGGGCTACTAACATTGAACACTGCCATCATTATTTTACTGCTTTCCAATTCTCTCTTACCACTGAGTTCTTCTCCCAGGGGAAAGTGGAAACAGCTTAGGGCTTTGTACACCCCTCAGTGAGCTGCAGTAAAAGTGTTTTGGAGGGGGTATTCCACAAAGCAGTGCCCAAGCCAAGTGGGACTGGAGCCATCCTCCAGGCCTGGGAAAAGGCGTTCCTCCTACTGCTACGAATATGACTGTGAGACAACCCAACCTTCCGGGACTGTGTGGGAATTTTTGCTACCATATGTTATTTATGTTACTTATATGCAAACTTACATACAAATATACATAAATATCCATACACATATATATGCATGCACAGGCTGGGAATATTTTTGGAATACATCACACGAAATAACAGTAATTGCCTTTGAGAAAGTACTGGGAACCACAGTGATATTTAGACAATATATCTTTTTATACCTTTTGAAACATCCTATGTTCATACATAACCTTTTTTAACCTTCTAATAAAAAATTTAAAAATTAACCTCAGTCAATGAGGTGATTAATCAAGCTGACTATGGCTATCTTTGCTTAACACCTATCTCTGACTATAACTATGGACCAAATGCAATTGAGATTTAAAAATTGATCATCTGGCCTTAGTTGCCCTCAAGGACTTTTTTTTTTTTTACTGAGCACCATAATTTTTGGAGAAAATAATATCAGCAATATATTTTGCCTCTACAGGCATTTTTAGAATTGTGACATTAATATTTCAGATAACAGACAAAAATATCTCATATAAAAACAGAACATCTCCATTTGAATCTCTCTTATGTGTACTCGTTGGTTGAATCACAAACTGTGCTTCTGCCAAAAAAAGAAAAGACAATTGAGGTGAGAATTCTAGGAAGATGGCAGAGCAGGAAACACAGGAATCCGCCTCCCCACCTACACAACAATTGTACAAGCAGAATCTGTCTGATTTTGGAATTCTGGAGTTTACTGAAGGTTTGGACAGTAAATTGTGATTAATTTCAACTCTTAGCTCCGTGGCAGCTACCCACCCTCCACCCAAGCCCTGAGGCAGGAAGCTGTGCACTGTTCTTGGAGCACCTGCACACAGCTTGTGGGAGCCAGGATAGGCAATAAGGATCCAGCCCCAACAATATCGAAGCTGGTTCTGATCACTGATTGCTGTTTCTGGTCAGAGAGGTACAATTGTTGTTTCACCCAACCCCACCCTCCATTGATACAAGCCCCTCCCCCTCTGGCTGAAGGGACTTCCAGGGGACTTAAAGGGCTAATGCCCTTCCCCCTTCATTTTTCTCTTTTTCCCCTTAAAGATTAGGACATTCAAAAGCAACTGCATGTTTGGGGAAAATCAGAAAGTGACTGAAGGTGCCCAGGGAAAGCTGCGGCTCAGAAAGGACCTGAAAGGATCTACTTTCACACCTGGTCCTGGCCACAGAGACAGCCTGCAGCAACCAGAAAAACAAAACAATAAACAGAGACAATGACAACAAACACTAAGCCCTTGGAAAAGGGAAGAATCTTATTTCCAGAGTTACCTCATTACTGTATTAGATTCAGAAGTCTAGTTTTTAACCAAAAAAAAAAAAAAAGAAAAATCACAAGGCATTCAAAAATAAATAAATCAGCAGAAACTGTTTCTAAAAAAGACCTGATAGCAGAACTACTTGACAAAAATTTTAAAACAACTGTCTTATAGATGCTTGAAGAACTGAAGATATGGAAAAAGTCAAGAAAATGATATATGAATGAAATTGAAATATCAGTGAAGAAACAAAAAACTCAGAAACCAAACAGAAATTCTGGAACTAAAAAGTACAATAGCTGAAATTTAAAATTCACTAAAAGGATTCAAAGGCATATTTTAACAAACAGAAGAATCAGCAAACTTGAACCTAAGACAATGAAAAGTATTGAGGCCAAGGAACAGAAAGGAAAAAGATTGAAGAAAAGTGAACAGAGACTAAGGGACCTGTGGTCAACTCTGAAGCCAGTCAACATATGCTTTGTGGGAGTCCCAGAAGGAGAAGAGAGAAAAGGGCAGAGAGAATATTTGAAGTAATACTAGCTGAAAACTTCCTAAGTCAGATGAAAGACATGAATATAAACATCAAAGTCTCTCAATAAATTCCAAGTAGGATGAACTCAAAGAGACCCATACCAAGACACAAATAAACTTTTTAAAGACAAAGAAATAATCTTGAAAGCAGCAAGAGAGAAGCAACTCACTGGACAAAGGATACTCAGGAAGATAATTTTAGAGGCCAGAAGACAATGGGACAATATATTCAAAGCACTAAAAGAAAAAAAAGTAGTCAGTTGGGAATCCTATATCAGCACCACTATCCAATCCTACAAGAGTGAGGGAGAAATTAAAACATTCCCAGATAAACAAAAGCTGAGGGAGATCATTACCACTAGACCCATTCTGTAAGAAGTGCTCAATGGAGTCCTTCAGGGTGAAATGAAATGACATTGGACAGTGAAGAAATTAAGACCTCAATAAAGGAAAATGCATAGGGAGAGTGATGTCAGCATCGCAGCAGCACAAGACATTCCTTGCTTGGTCCCCACCTCAACAACAAAAATTCGGCATCCATCCATGAACAGAAGTGCCTCTGTGGGAGTCGAGGGACTCAGCACCATACACCAAGGGACCCAAGAGCAGTGGGTCCCATTTGTACATCAGGTAATAGGCAGACAGGCCTCAGTACTGGCAGTGGAGCCTGCAGGACCTGTGACCTGGCTCCAGCCCCTGTTGGCCATGGTCCACAAGCACCTGGAGAATTCTGACTCGGGCAGTCTCCCACAGATGAGACGGCCTTCGTGGAAGTCCAGGTTTTGAGAGGAGAAGTTCCAGTGCTCCATTGGAGCAAAGCAAATAAAAGTTTGGATGCATTGGAGTGGGCAATTAGTAACTATTGGAGGGCTTGGGACAAGGCAGCTACATGAAAAAAAAAAAGTCCAGAGATCAGTAGTAACATTTAAACTAATAAAACTCCTAACACTAATGCCAATGACAAATGAATAACTTTTTCTAAATGTTCTCTATGTGTGATGCATTAAGCTAAGCACTTTTTATATGCGCCATTTAATTTAACCCACAAATATCCCTGTCGTTCATGGTAGGAATGGTTATCCTTGGAGAAACTGAGGCCCATAGAGGTGAAGCAACTTGTGTGGATTCCTCCAGCTCACAAGTAACCAAGCTTGGCTTGGAACTCAAATCTTCTGATTCTAAGAGGCATGTCAAGAGAATTGGGGGCCTATTTGGGGGAGAGCAGACAAGACTGTTTCTTTGGAGGGTGCTCGGGGTGTCAGGGGAGGCAAGATAGACAGGGATGAATTTGTTTATAACCTTGGGTGCCAGGTGCGGAAATCTGGTCTTCATTCTGGGACAGTTTAGAGGCAGGAAGGGGCTTGGGTTTAGGACAAGACCCTTGGGTGCAGGGAGGAGAAGTGAGGAGGAGGGAGATGAGGCCTGGTTGGAGGCTGCCTCGATAGCTGAGACCAGGGGGGATGGGGTCTGTACTTGCGTGGGCGGGGGAGTTGAAGACAGATGGGGAGCTGGAACCTGTGAGACGTGATGACTGAGGTGGTTCTGGGACTTCCCACTTGGAGGGGGGAGGGGAAGGCGCTGAGCAATGAGTGAGGAAGGACCTCTAGCCCAGCGGTTCTCAACCTGTGGGTCGCAACCCCTTTGGCGGTCGAACGACCCTTTCACAGGGATCACCTAAGACCATCCTGCATATCAGATATTTACATTACGATTCATAACAGTAGCAACATTACAGTTATGAAGTAGCAACGAAAATAATTTTATGGTTGGGTCACAACATGAGGAACTGTATTTAAAGCGCCAGAAGGTTGAGAACCACTGCTCTAGGGTATCTCGATGAGAAGGCAAGCGTTGGTGACACACAGATGTGGGTCTGGGTCCCGGTTCTGCCACGCAGCAGCTGTTTGACCTCAGGTGGGTTACTAGTCCTCTTTGAACCTCTGTCAGGTGGGGTGTACACCCACCTCCTCCACCAGCCCGGGGCAAGGACCAGATGAGACAAGTTTCTCTTGGAGTGCTTGATAAATGGTAACCACCTGCACCTCAGTTTCCCTTCTCTAGACTCTCACATGCCCCCGAGCGTGTGACCTGCCTTCTAGGAACTGAACTGACCCCGCCGGGTTATTGTGTAAACACAAAAACTAGCACATTCTTGGATGGGGAGAGAAAAACAAACTTGTGCCAAAGTTCAAAGTACTGCTGTGGGCTTACTTTAAGACCGTCCTTCTGGTAACTCTGGGAGATACAGTCCAGGACACCTTTGTATTTGTTTAAATAAACCCCATCAGCCTGGAGTCGACTTTTCACAACATCCATAGGAGTCGCTGTCCCCCAAGAAATTGCTCCTGTAAAGAGAGAGACAAACAGGAGTCAGGGGCTGGCAGGTTGGGGTCTGGAGGGGACCCTGCAGCTTCCTGCCACTCAGAAGCTTAGTCAGCTGCTGGGGGAAGTGGAAAAGTTCAGGGTCGGGGCCCGTAAGGGCTGTTCCTGAGCCTCCCTTGAGACGTGCTGTGGGACTTCACAGAATTATCCTACCCTGCAGGCCTTGGTTTGTCATCTGTAAAATGGGGCAGCAGTATCTGTCTTCATGGGGTTGCTATGAGGATAAATAAACAGATGCATGTGAGGCATTTAGTGCAGTGCCAGGCGCATAGCCAGTGCTTCGTAGGCGTTTCTTAGCAGCTTTTATTGGAGAAACAGGAACAGGCTCACCAGTGCTTGCAGCACCTTTCCAGGCGCCAGGGGAGGCCCAGGCTGAGTCTGAGGAGGAGGGCTCACAGCTCCCCAGAGGCAGGATCTACCCTGAACACACAGAAGCTAAACAAGCACTGGCCAGCCTGGGGATTGGAAAGAAAAGCAGGAGCAGGTCTTTGAAAAGCTCTTATCTCTTCCAGGTATTTGGAATAAAAGTCTTAGGACCTCACGCCCTGACTCATCCTGGTTGGATATGCTCAGGTGCCCTGGTTTGGGCGCTTTTGTGACTTTCAGGGACTCTGGGAAAACAACACCGGGTTATTGTGTAAACATAAAAACTAGCACATTCTTGGATGGGGAGAGAAAAACAAACCTGTGCCAAAGTTCAGGGCAGCTGGTTTGCAAGTTTTGTAATTGCTGCCAAGAGGCTCCCCAAAGAGGCCTTTGCCTGCCCCAAACTCTGCTCATCCCGGCCTCCCTCCAGCCCCTGTGGCCACGGTGTCAGGGCGCCCTCTGCACCTCTCTTTCCTGCCTCAGGTCAGGATAACAGGCCACTCCCCCTGGCACACTCCCTGTCCCTCAGCCCAAGGGCGAGGGTACTACAGATGGAGGTTCGCCTGCCAGGCCACTCACACCTGCTCTCACCAGAAATGAGAGCAGGTGGGGCTTTGTTTGTCCTCAGCCAGCTTCCTGAGCACATACTGGGAGTGGCCAGCCTCAGGCAATGGGGCGGTGGGGGCGGTGGGAGTGAGGGAAAACACTGGTGTTTGGGCTTTGTTATGTGCTGGCAGAGTTTCACACACAGCTCATTATGATGAGGAGGAAAGACAATTTTCTTCTCTCCGCAGCAAAGGCCATGTTATCAGCCTCTTACAAAGCATTCTCCATGTTCAATATTGACCAATGTCACCCCAATTCATTTAATAAATAAATAAATAAATGAAAGCATTCTCTCCTGACTCCCACGCCCCTCTTAGCTATGCTGCCCTTCTCTCTGCCCTGGTAGAGCACGGTCAAGTCCCTCCCAGGTGCTGGGTTCTCCAATTTCCTTTATCCCACCCTCTCAATCCCACTCCAATCAGGTTGCCACACCTTCTCTTGACCAAAATGGGGCTTGTCAAAGTGCCTGGTGGCCTATATACCTCACAGAGGTCCTTGGTGGGAAAGAGCCAGGGCAGCCCGCAGCACAGAGACCAGTGGGGCTGGAGCCCAGCAAGCGGACTCAGGAGCAGAGAATGAGTGCAGATGGGTGACAGGCAGCCCGGTTGCAGAGGGCCTTAAACACCGCTGCAAGGACACCGACTTCTGCCCTACGTGACAGGGGGATGCAGTGTGAGTTCTGAGTAGGGAGGTTAAGTTCTGGTCCATGGTCACGAAACGAGTAAGTGGGGATTTGCACTTGGATCTTTCTGAGGCGGAGTCCCTGCTGAGGTCTGCACTGGCTGTGTGACCTTGGGTTGGCCACTTAATTTCTCTGAATCTGAACTTTCTCATCCTAAAAAATGGGGAGACTGATTCCTACCTTCTGGAGGTAATGAAATCCCCACACGAGGAAGGTTTATAGTGTGCCAATATTAAAATATGGTGAACCGTAATAACCAATTTCCTTTGAAAAGCTCAGTAACACCTGACACAGAGTAAGTGCTCAAAATGTACCTTCTGACTGAAAGTTCAATGAGCCCAAATAGGGACTTGCCATCCCCACAGGTCCAGTGGAGAGGAGATGGAAGAAAGGGAGGACCATTCTGCATTCCTAGTCCTTTCTCTGGCACATAGTAGGTATTTAACATGGAATTGTTGGATGAGGGATGAGTAGGGCATGGTAGGCCCCCCAACTGTCCCACTGCGGTGGCCAGCACAGGGACAGGTATCAACACTGCTGTCTTACCTGCCACGCCACCTGCCAGCCACACAGCATAGGGGCTGGGGTCTGCACAGGCCTCAGGTGTGATCCAGTCGGTCAGGAACACATAGGGGACAAAGTAGAGGCAATAGCCCGGGACGTCCCTCAGCAGCATGGCACCGGCACCCCGGTACAGCCCCGCCAGGCCCTCTGTCCGCACGATGGTTGCAATGCAATGCACAGGCCCCTGGTAGGCTGGCTGCTCCCCGAGAGCCACTGTCCTGTTCTTCAAACTGAGGCTGGCTGCAAAGACAGGGCAGGTAAGATAACAAGTGACCCAGGGGGCAAGAGACTGGCCATTCTCTGGCACTAGAGCCAGCCCAGCCCACTGACAATTCCCTCTCAGGTGGCCCACTGGATTTTACCAAACCTCTGACCTTCTTGGCAGCTCAAACCAGGATTCTGGAATCCCAACAGAGAGCTCTGCCAACATGAGCAGCCAGATTGGAGACAATCTATCCAGGTGATAAAGTACCAGTTGCCTTAGAATGTTCAGGGGCTGCTGGTCAACCATCACTATGTCTCTCTAACAGATGTGACTGTAGAATGCCTAGGATCAACTATGAGAAGGCATACCAAGCTCTTTCTTGAATCAACTGTAGGAAAATCCAGCACATTATGCATGTGTATGTGTGTGTGTGTGTGTGTGTGTGTGTGTGCGTGCATGTGTGTGCGCGTGTGTGTACTTGTGGTAAAAAAGTACACGAGTCCTGGCCGAGTGGTTCAGTTGGTTGGAGCTTCATCCTGTACACCAAAAGGTTGTGGGTTTGATTCCTGGTCAGGGCACATACCTAGGTTGTGGTCTGATCCCAAGTTGGGGCATGGATGGAAGGCAACTGATCAGTGTTTCTCTTTCTCTTTTTCTAAAAAATCAATAAAAAGCATATTTTTTAAAAAGTACATGAGATTTGGACCCAGTTCCAAATCCTGGCCCCACCACTTACAAATATTAGGTCCTTGATAGGCCACCCTTTCCAGCCTTTGTTTCCTTATCTTTATAAAGAAGACAGTATTGTACCCTTTATACATAATACAATACTGTATTGTATATTGAAAGTTGCTAAGAGAGATTTTAAAAGTTCCCACCATATACACACCCACAAAATGGTAACTGTGTGAGGTGATGGGCATGTTAACTAACCTAAACTTGGTAATCATTTGCACTATACACATATATCAAATCACATTGTATACCTTAAACTCACACAATGTTTACATTAATTATCAATAAAGCTGAAAAATATTTGTTCATAAAAGAAAAGGAGCACAGACTTTTGTGAGTATAAATAAGGCAGTAACTATAAAGTTCTCAGCACGGTTCTAGGAACATCGTGGAGGTGAAGTAGATGGCCTACAGGTTATTACTAAGACCGAGGTTGACTGGCACACATCAGGTGCAGGCTGTGCCGGCTGGAGGGCTGGACAGTGCTCCCTGATGCCATTGGCCCCTCCAAGTCCAGGGTGCAGGGCTGCTGTCTCCTTGTCTGACTTCCATGGTCAGGTCACAGGTTGTATGTCGAGCTTCTTCTATGGGTATGCGTAGCCACCAAGCAGTGACTCTGGCTCTCAGATTTAATCCTTCCACCGGCTCCCCCCGCTCCATCTCTGATGTTCATCTCCTCTGCTACGGACCCTTTAGCACAGCTTTGACTCATGGCCAGAGAGACCTCCCTGTCCCCATGCAGGTAAAGCAGACTTAGTCTCAACTTGTTCCCATCTTAAAGAACTACCATGACATGCCTAGGAAGGAAGCTTGCCTATTTTGCCACCACACCTATTTTGCCACCGGGGTTTAACTCCCAGAATGCACCATTTCTGATTTTCCACATCTGGCAAAGAGGAACATCAGTTTCATTATACAGTTGAACTTCCAAGTTCCCCCAATAGTTCCATCTTTATTAGAGGAAAGGTCAGGACAAGACATTCGGCTCCATGGTGCCGCGGTCCAAACTGGAGATTTGGGGGTAAAGTGCAACCTGTCCTTTCACGCATCCCAGAGTAAGTGAGGTCAAGGAGGAGGTTTCCATTTTCCTAGGAAATGTGCTTGAAAAAACGAATCCTGCATTTTCCTTTTGTGGGGTGGAGAGTGGGGACGAGCACCCACAGCCACACATGTTCAGACAACTGCAGTGTGGGCAGGAGACTGAGTCCCACTCACTTCTACAGCAGATCCCACAGGAAGTGAGTTACTTTTAGTGGCCACTTTTGGGGGGCACAGGGCCCTCTGAGCTCTGAGCAAGATCAGACACTGTGGTCTTTTAAAGCCCACTGAGACGTCACTGGACACCCCTTCCTCTCCCAAATCTACCATAACACGGCTGGGGTCATCCGGGGATATTTTGGCACAAGACAAACTAGATGTAATTGTCCCGATATAAACTTTGCCTGGCCACTCAAGTACAAGTGCAGTGATCTGAGTAAGAGTTTTAATGAATCAGCGATGGAAATGAGGTGGCTTTCTGAAGTTACTGATTGAAGGAGTGCGCCTGATAACATCCTGCTGATTCAGAGGATGGATGTTGAAAACAGCATTTGCCCAACCTCCAACTGGCCCTGGGGATAGAGAACCCGAACTTTCCTTTTCTTTCCAGAGTGAGCAATAAGGAAATCCTCCCCAGTTCTCCCAGGTTTGTTACACAAGCAATCTAGCTTTTATTGCTTGAGTATGATCCACTTATGACTATTAAAGCAGTAAAATTGTCATGGTGATGACCATCATCTGAATACTGACTCGAGCCTGAACTGGCGGCCAGTGCCTTCTGGGCACAAGTTGATACTGCGAAGGCCTTGGGACTCCACCGGACTCCCTCATCCCCATGTAATAACAAGTGTTGTTTAAAAAAACAAAAGACTTTTTATTTGAAAAAAATTTTTCAAATTTGAAAAAAAAGACAAAAAAGAAAAAATATTGTATAAAGAACACCCTTAATATTCACTATCCAGACTCGCCTGTTGTTAACATTTATTTTATGGTTTGCGCACTCTCCTTCCCCCACCCCTTCTCCCTCAAACATGCTCATGCAATGACTGAGCAGCTGCCACTGTCCCCGTGCCTAAACCTGTCTGGGCTGTTCGTCTCCAGGCAACAGTGACCTGACCTGGGGTCAAGGTTTCACATGTCAGCTATGGGTATGATGTGGGTTTCAGGACTTACAGATTGAAGGGCAGAATCTGATAAGGTCCTCCTTGTCTGAAGGTGTCAATGTTGGGAAAACACTTGCCAAACCTTGAACCAGCCTTGTGAACAAGACCCAAACCTGCACTTCTTTTCGTTTTCCCCAAGGTAAGCAATAGGAAATTCTTTATATATGCATGCATATATAGTTTTATATTCTGAACCATTTTAGGGTGAATTATATACAAAATGGCCCTTTACCCTTAAATACTTCATGTATTTTCTAAGAATAGGGTGTTGTCTTACATACTATAGTGCAGTTATTGGTTTCATAACCTACGTTGACAATACTGTTATCTAATATGCCATCTATGTTCACATTGTCATTTGACCTCATAATGACCTTTATAGCATCCCTCTCCTTCCCCAGCACAGAATCTAGTCTACTCAGGTGTTGCATTTAGTCATCATGTCTCCTTAGCTTCCTTTAATCTGGAACCTTTCCACAACCTTTCTTTGTCTTTATGACACTGACATTTTTTTTTGAGAACTCACTGCCCCCCTTCTTGTAAACAGAACTTTCCTCATTTGGGGTTTGTTTGATGTTTCCTTGTTATTATGTTGAGGTTATGAGTTCCTGGCCCAGCCTCCTCCCCATTCTCACTTCTTGTCCCATGAAGAGTAATCACTTTCAAGAGCCTTCTCTGGCCTCCTATGCTTGTTTTGCAGTTTGTTTTTTAATTGAGGTATACTTTACATTCAATTAAAGGTATAGCTATTAAGTGCACAAAAGGAGAGTTTTGACAAGGGCCGCTACACCCTACTGAGAAGATGACATCTTATACTTAAACGATTTTGGTTTCAGCCCACTCAGGCAGTGCAAAAATTCCAGATCTACCTACCTTCTCCCGCTTTTCAAGGTAAAGAACTCTGCCCATCCACATGTCACTCAATGAGAAGCATAGCTTTCTTTTAGGCGATGGTCGTTCAGGCCCATCTGCATTAGCAGTAGTGGTATGGACGATTCATCTGGGGCCACAAAGCAGAAACTGCTATCAGTTGCTCAGAACACAAGATGTTCTATGGCTGGGGCAGGGAGGTGTGGCCCTGAGAGGTAAAACCGGGGAGCCTTGACAGCTAGACATAGAAAAGCACTGAGTGAGAGTTCTGGGTAACGCTAGCAGTGGACCAATTTTAGTTTGTGAAAAACAAATTTTGATCCCTAAAAACTGACTTGGGAGGTTGCTGGCAAGCAGTTCTTGGAAATATGCATGACTGAATTCCATGGCCTCCCCTGTCATTCCTGCAAGGACCCCGAGGAAGGAGGCCAGGTGCTGAACCAGTGTCATGTGTCTTCACTTAACACCATAGATAGCCCGGCCGGCATGGCTCAGTGGTTGAGCGTCGACCTATGAACCAGGAGGTCATAGTTCAATTCCTGATCAGGGCATGTGCCTGGTTTGCAGGCTTGATCCCCAGTGGGAACATGCAGAAGGCAGTCAATCAATGATTCTCTCTCATGATTGATGCTTCTACCTCTCTCTCCCTCTCCCTTCTTCTCTAAAATCAATAAAAATATTAAAAATTAAAATTAAAAAACAAAACACCATAGATAGGCTCCTGTGACTCTAAGCAAAATGATATGTAAAGAAACTACTTTACCACAAGCTAATTGATATAAACAAGAGTTAAGTTCCGACAGCATGTTTCTGGTCACAAGAACTTCTTCAAACTTCTAAATAAGTAATCAAAACACTTCCAATATTAAACATTGAAATAAATGTGAGCTATATGCACATTTAAGAAAGATTCATAGAAAACAAGAAAAAGAATTATTTTCCAACCCGTTTATTCCAATTCAGGATTTCAGGTGGCCAGAGCCTCTCCTAGCAGCTCAGGGTGTGGCATGACCCACGCTGGACACACACACACACACACACACACACACACACTCAGACTGGAACAACTTAGACACACCAATTCACCTACCATTGGGATGGCAAGGAAACTTGAGGACCCAGAGAAAAGCCACGCAGGCATGGGAAGAATGTGCAACTCCACACAGACAGTGGCTCCTGCCTGGAATTGATTTTTCTCATCGTTGTTATAAAATGACGTTGAACGAAAT